CACCTGTCAGGTGTGTGACTGGAGATGCAGAAAGGTTTCCATTGCCAGAGCGCGCTCCCTCCTTCCGAAGTCCCGCATTTCTTTGGGCTTTTAGATCGTCTACGTCTTACGTGAAGACTTTCCTGGGTTCAGTAACCTTCTGTTATAAAGAAGAGAGCCCAGGGCTTTGCCTAAGGAGGTCTGGCTGACAGCCACATGTACTTTTGCCTGGCAGCCCCTTAGACCACTTATGAATACGGACTAGAGGTTAAAAAGTCCTCAGAACAGGAATCGGTGAGGTCCCTTAACGACAAGGCAGTGGGACAGGAGTGAAAACTTTCTGTTCCCACTGCTGCCATCTCAACGGATGTACAGTGTCTCATTCAGACTATGGCCCAGCCCCCTAATTTAGCACTAAGTCATCATTTTCTTCCCTAAGCCGTCCCTGGTTCGAGAGGCACGCAGAACTGTTTTAACATGTGCAGATTAGCCCTGGCCGGTGTGGCTCAGCAGTTGGAGCCTTGGCCTGGCCTGAGGACTGAAGGGTCACAGGTTTGATTCCAGTCAAGGGCGCGCACCTGGGTTGTGGGTTCGATCCCCTGCCCTGGTCAGGGCCATACAGGAGGCAATCAATGTATGTGTCTCTCTCACATTGATGTTTCTCTCTCTCTGTCTCCCCCTACCTCCACCCCGCTCCACTCAATCTGAAAATCAATGTAAAAAATATCCTTAAAAAAACAAAAAAAGGATCTACAGATTATATTGCTGTTTCATTGTAATCTGTTAATGGCTGTTTCATTGTAATCTGTTAATGGCTAACAACAACAACAACAAAATAGCAGGGAAAAATTAATAGGCATTCCTTCTAGAAGATATAGATAAGCAAGGTGAAGACAATAAAGTTTTCATAATCCCAACACCCGGATTATCCGTATCAGCAGCATACATATTTTATAAGCTGTTTTTTCTCACATAACACAAGCATATTTCAGTGCCATTAACTAGTCTGCAGATGATTCTACTACCTGTCTAGTAATTCCATTGTATAAGTCCCCCTTTTTCTTTTAAGTGGGGTTCCATCTGTCTCCTTGCAGCGTGCCCCATGCTCAGTGCGGGGTCGGCCATGCCTGCGGGCCAGATCCAGCCGCTGTCCACACTTCTGTGCCACAGAAACAGAATAGTTTTGACAATTTGAAATCGTTGAAAAAATATATTTTGTGATGTGAAAGTTATACAAAATTCACATTTCAGAGTCCAAAATTAAGTTTTATTGGTGCACAGCCAGTCATTTGCTTATGGATTGTCTGTGGCTACTTGTGCACTCTAACAGCTTAGTTTAGTTTAAAATATTTACAACTTTCTGGCCTTTAATGGACAGTGTGCTGACCACTGGTTTAGCCACACTGCACACACCTGATGTGTTTTCAGGCTTTGGTACCTTGTTCAGTGAGCTCCTTCAGCCCAGGCTGCCGTCTCTGCATTTTACTTGTCAGAGTTTTGCTTTCTTGGTTTTAAATCTCTGTAACACTATGACTTGCCATCATGTTAGGTATGTCACTGTTATATTTATTGTGTCCATGTCTTTCTCTCTTCTGGAAGAGAAGCCTAATGGCCATGATTTTCAATCATTCATTCTGTGCAGCACCCTTCTCTGCACAGTATTCTAAAAATAGATGATCAATAAGTCTTTGCTGAGTACTGATTGAAACTAACTTCTTTGGGTCTGAATTTGAGAAAAGAACTACCACTTTAAATAATGTCTTTAGAAACATTTATTTTGAATTTCAAGAATACACTTGCTAATGAACTTGTAGAACAGCACTCCTCAGCTGCACTTTTATCTAAATCCTGAAAGTTTGCTGTTGTGGGAGAAATTAGGAGAGAGCCAGACTTAAGAAGAGAAGTGTGTTGAGATCCTCGCCCCATCCCTTCTCTGTGTGCACAGTGACCCTCTGCATTCCTGGTGTGCACACTAGGAGGAGGTAGCTGCGTCCGTTTTGGGCAAGGAGAAGGGGCAGCTTCAGGGCATGTGTGGCTGGTTCTGGGCTGCTGTTGAAACCCTCCCCTGCCCTTGCCAAGTAGCTTCCATCTTGTATTGCTACCCCAGTTAAACCGGACCATGCGTGTAGTCACTTCAGAATACGCCGTCATGGTAGTCAGTGTCATTTCTGTATGTGCTCTCGATCGTGACTATGATGAGCCATGTCAGGGTGGAGGAGTCCAGACAGGCTGCGGCACTAAAGAGGAGTATCTCCGATTTTTAGTCTTCTTAACGGTTTTAAAGTATGAAGCATTTTTTATGTTTTTATGATAAGCATTAGGAAAGACAATATTTAAGCACTGTTAGAAGCATAAATCTATAAGAACTATAGTAGTATACATCAAAATTATTAGACAGGTAAATGGGAGAAGAAGAAAAATATTTGTCAGACCCTGATAGACAGAAATGAGAGACTATTCTCTTGAGTGATGAAGTCAATATAAAACACTCATACTGGAACACACGTTGCACATTTAATGTTTATATAATGGAAATAAAAATCAAACATGAGCCCTGGCTGGTTTGGCTCAGCGGTTGGAGTATTGGCCTGTGGGGACTAGAGAGTCCGGGTTCGACTCCCACTAAAGGCATATACAAAAAACAAACATGAACTACTGAATGATTACCTAGAGAATAGTCCATACTTGTCTAAGAAACATTTTAACTAAAAAACATTTTTGACACTTTTGTGGTTCATCTTTCCAGTGTCTTGAACAAATACTTATAAATAAGTTTTTATACCTCTTTTTATGGAAAAGATAGTTTTAAATATAAAGGAATAAGAAGTACTCTATTCTTTATTGTAGGACAGTTAATAAAAAGATCAGTTCAAGACTGACTGCATATTTATCATTTTATAATAAAATATAAACAAAAGGTTTGTAACAACTTTTTAAAAAATAAATAAGGATTTCAGTTGGGAAGGACCCTTAGCATGGCATGACTAGCATGGTAAGTATAAGGAGTTTAGTCTATTTTAATATTAAGAAAATACAAAGATCCTTTTACTTTCTGAATGTAGCAACATCTAAATATCATAGAACCCTTTTAACCTTTCTAGCACCCACAAAATCTAGGAAGTGTAAAATCATAAAGTCATATTACTGTTACTGCTTTTATGGTGGTACTATTTTTAGCAATAATAAAAGGTGATCTTTAGTGCTCCATAGCTTGAAATGTGAGGATTGGTCCTTTGAAAACAAAAGGAAGAAAAAGAAAAACTACAAGTCCTATTTCTTTAAGTTGTAGTTTTTTCTAATTTAATTAGTTTAAAATATGATCAAGTTTTTTTTATTATTATTATTTTTCCTCATTTTCTAGTTAGCTTTATCTTCAGTGTGGGCTTGTCACTGAAGACAGAAAATGCCAACAAGTTCATTTACACATGACAGATGGAGCTGCTTCGCCATCTGTGTGGTTAAGGGTTTGGGGATTGAACAGCACCTGTAGCTTAATGCCCGGCAGAAGCTCCCTGCAGACATTCCTCACTGAGATGAATACCTTGCAGTGCTTCAGTCTTAACTTGGCTGGAAAAACAGAAGCAATGTCTTATTGCTTCTAAATCTCAGCACATGAGTTCTGTCTTTTATAATTCCTCAGACACAGGTACGTAGTTATTTTAGTTTGCACTGCATACTTTATATTTTAATTTCTCATATAAAACATTCTACATATATAACAAATATTTATATACTATTTTATAATAAAATATTTTACAATATACATTTACTTTTAGCATATAATATCACCAACATGATAAATATTAGTGCTGGGCCCTGGCCAGTTTGGCTCAGCGGTTAGAGCGTTGGCCTGCGGTCCGGAGAGACCCGGGTTCGGTTCCCGCTAAGGGCACGTACTTCGGTTGCAGTTTGTCCCCTGCCCTGGTTGGTCGTGCGGGTGGCAGCCACTCGATGTGTCCCTTTCACGTCGATGTTTCTCTCTCTCTCTCCCTTCCTCTCTCTCCTTCCCACTCTATCTGTACAAAAAATGGAAAAATATCCTTGGGTGAGGATAAAAAATAAAAAAAATAAAAAAAAAAATAAATATTAGTGCTGGAAAGAACTTTGGAGATCATGCAAAACAAGGATTCCAAGGTACAAAAAGACAGAGTGTGCCTAGGATATTAAAATTTAAACATCCAAATTCAAACCTGCTTTTTCCAACTACATGGCTTTTCAACTATAATAATTATTAATTTCATTTTTGTTTTAATATTTACTTGAAAATGTGTTTGTCTCTTGATTGTCCTACAACGTGATACTGTCAAGACTTAAAAAAAAAAAAATTGCCTCATTAGCAGAAAGGTATAAATTTCAAACGAGCTATTTTACAGAAATGTAAAGTACATTTCTATTCTATATTAGAGCTTTAATTAGGGAAGTTCCAAAGAATAGTTATCTTTTACTTTTATTTTCTGTATGTACGAGCATCTATTTGTGTTGTTTCATCAGAATCACGTGATACTTTTATGATTTTTGTATACATTCTTTCTTGTTCAATATCATGAAATGATAAATTTCATAAAAATGATCAAGTGTTTATATTATGTAAGTAAATGAATTATACATTGAATGGTGAGAAAAAGGTATTTTCTTTAGGACATTGAAATTATGCACTCTAAATATTTATTTTAACCCATCCCTTTATTTCCCCTATGTTGCCAGTTTAAATGCCAATTTAACCATTGGTGTAGCCAATATTGAGTGGCTCCCAGAAACAGAGTGTTTTGCCCAAATTTCACCACCACAAGTTCAAGTTCTTGTGAGCATCTTCACCAACCACTGACCTATATTCAACACAAGCTTGACCCCATTACAGGAACTAGTTCAGTGCAGTTACCCTGATGTAAATATTAGAACGAGATGAATTAATATCATTATGACATTCTTTGTTATATTTTACATGTACTGATTTAGAATGGAATTAACGGTATATTGTATTTTTCTTACTTACACACATCATAATTTTCTTTCTTTTTCAGCTTTTTAATTAAATGAAGCCAAGTGGGATTTCCATAAAGTGAAAGTGAAGATAAAGTGTTCCTGACATACTACTTTGAATTCTTCAGTTCATCTCCATGTTATTCTAGCTTATCCTTGTGTAACGTTTTAAATGTGAGATCTAGTAAATTTAATTTATAGAAATGTGTGGTTTAATTTAATATTAGCACTGGAAAGGACACAGGAAACATTGATGTGTTGCAAGCATATCGTATTCGGTGCATGCTACAGGATTGAAATAGGTGACAAGGTATCATTTCATGCTTCAGAACTGTTCACTTTTCAGTCAAGAAAACCACAATGTTAGCAAGAAGGGAAAACTACAAAATGTGTTAATAAATTCCTGCGGCTGTACAGATAGGGTATATGCATGAAAATGTCACGTTCTGAAAAATTATATTTATTGCGGTTTCAGTATAAAGGACGTATATGGTTACACATGGTGTTGTGTTCTAGTTAATCGTAGATAGAGGTGCTTAGGACAGGGAGCTGGACGAATAGTACACACAACTTGGATGCCAAACCTGGGAAGGAAGGTTCTTTCCAGATCACAAGCCTAAAGCAAACGTGACCAAACCAGCACCACAGAACTAGGGATTCTTTCCTCTCCACCTTTAGAAGTGTCATCCGGGAGTCCAGACCAGAAGCCACAGGACTGCCCACCAAGGCCATGTCCCCGTGTTGTATGGAAGAGGCTGCCCTCAAAACCTCGTTCCCTGAATTATCCTAATATGAGTGTGTGACTCGGTGAAGCTTTTTTGAAAACCAAATATAGGAACCTGACCATGATTCTGTTTGCATATCCTGTTTCTGTGTATACAGCACCCTGGTATATGTTATGGTATTTCTTTCTTCACAACAATTCTGTAAATTAGACAGGAAATGTACATTTTGTCTGACTTATAGAAGTACTGAAAGCCAAAAATTTAAAGTAAAGCTTGTAGCTACGCTTTTAAACTCTCAAACCTGAATTTTTTATTTATGTGATGCTATCCAAAGACGGATTTAGAAACAGTCCAATAAACTTTTTGTTTTTTTCTCTTTAGGCTTGCTATCTAATTTTCATTAAGATCCAAATTATAGACCATGGACAACTTTGTTTGCTCTATTCTCAAACAGGAGCCAGACCAAATTTGCTTATTTTATACCTTTGAAATTCAACAAATAATGGAAAATAGTGCTATGTGATTTGGGTCATGGGTTCAATTCAGGTCAAGGTTACATACCTGGGTTGCAGGTTGGATCCCTGACCCCATGGAGGAGGTATCCAATCGTTGGCTCTTTCTCACATTGATGTTTTTCTCCCCCCCCCCCCCCCCAAAAGATCAATGGGAAAAAATCCCTGGGTGAGGATTAACAAAAAGGAAAAGGAAATAAAAAAAAATACACAATATAAAAGCCCACAAGGGCATATTAAGTTAAATCCCAGGGCAATATGTGTGCTGGCAGGATGAAACCTATGTTTTCAAAACATTATATAGCTTTCAATAGTGAAAGTTATATAATTCAGAACTTTGTTAAACTTACACATCTCCAAATCTATTATTAAACATATTAATTTCCCCAGTTCCTATTCAAAGATTGATAAATTCAGTATTGGAATGGCATTTATAGAAGAGCAATAAGTGACCATAATCTTTGGTTTAATGCCTATCACTAGGTAGCAGTTGACCTGTAAATCTTAATCCATTGAGTATTTTCACATATCCTGAAGTTCATTCAGAACAGATGTTACAGTTGCAGTTTGAAGCCAAATTTGACAAAAAAACCACATTTATTTATTAAATATAATTACCTGCGTTTGTTCTCTTAAAGCTCAAAATTCTTATCTTCCAGTTAGTATGCAATTAACTAAATGACATTGACATACATTTACTCTGTAAAGGCTTAAGTGTTTCATCTGGACAAAGTCAGTTCTCGGATAGTGACTCAGGTGAAAGAGCTTTCTCGTCCCAGATTAGTATATGTTTTCTAGCCTAAATGATGTCATGTCCTCTGAACATTAACTATCTGCCACTAGAAAGACAATTCTTTTTTTTTCAGAATTCCATAGTTTAAAAGGCTATTGCTTCTCTATATGCAATAGTTACATTAGGGAAGTGATTCTACAGGGAAACAAACTGCCTAAGATCACTCATTATTGGTGAATTCTACAGGCAAAACTCCAAAAATATTGGCTCAAATGCAATTTGCTTTCAGAATATAATGTGCAAAATCACATGCATGATGTATGATATCTTTACCTTTGCCAAACAATTTGAATTGAAAAATTAATTTGTGTGTGGTATGTTGTATCCTTCAAAGTCACTTTTCAACCAGATCCACTATACTAAAGACTCCCTTAAAAACAATGTATGTTTAGCCCTGGCCGGTTTGGCTCAGCGGTTAGAGCGTCAGCCTGCGGTCCAGAGAGACCCGGGTTCGGTTCCCGCTAAGGGCACGTACCTCGGTTGCAGTTTGTCCCCGGCCCTGGTTGGTCGTGCGGGTGGCAGCCACTTGATGTGATCCTTTCGCGTCGATGTTTCTCTCTCTCTCTCTCTCTGTTCCTCTCTCTCCCTCCCACTCTACCTGAACAGAAAATGGAAAAATGTCCTCGGGTAAGGATAAAACAAAAACAAAACAAACAAAAAAAAAATGTATGTTTAACAATGTCCAGATAGGGCTAAAAAAATTACTCTTCTATAAAGTTGGAGAGAAAAATCCTAATATAAAATTTCATCAAAAGGAGTTTTATTTTGTAATAACATCTGATCAATAACACATTGCGTTTTGCTCAGCACACTGTTTCTTGCATTAGGTATTCATGTGAGTAAGCCCAACAGTGTTGTGTGTTTACTGTAATTTTCTTTTGCACATAGAGTAATATCCCTTGTTGTCAGCAAGCATGGTGATTTGGGAGATTAGACTTTGTAACCACAGAGTTTGACAAGTATTTTCTTTCTTGCTCTTATGAGAACCATCCTAAGGGTACCTGAAGGGAGTGGTTATTCTAAATAAGGTATGACATATTGTCTTGAGATCAATGACATTAAACATTGTGTTTTAAGAAGGACTGATGATGGGGCAAACATTAGCTAGAGCATCTAGGGACAAAACATTTAAATGAACTCGTTGAGACTCAATGTTCCTCGGAGTTCTCAGAGCTCATTAAGTTTAAAATATGAAAACAAGATGTTTTTCATCTTCCAGCAGGAAGATACACTGGGTCGGACCAATATATAGCTCATACTATTTTTTCTAATAGTAGAAGGTGGTCAGCATTGTAGCTAATCACACTTAAATGATACTAGTATGTGCATATTAGCCCCTAAATTCTCTCATTTAATTCATGGGCATCTAACATGAATTTTATATATTCCTTTTATTAATCTTAAATGTCCAAAATATATACATATGTTTATATCTTGTAACTGGAAAGTCCTAAGTATTTGTACAGTTAGTAAAACATCACAATTTCACATTATAATAGGCAAATGTCATGTTCACCTAAATGTTGCTGTATGCACTTACATTAAAATGTATGCATATGTGTCCATGAAAATGGTAGAGTGAGGAACTCTAGAGACCCACCCCCTCTGTCAGAATCAGTTTTGTTGAAAGTCTAGAGATTAGTGCAAGGTTTACAGCAACCCAGTAAATACTTCAGCAATAAAAGGGTGAATGAAACCCAGACGTATAACTTAATGGCATTTTATCCTTTTCATCCCCTCCTCCCAGGTCAGCAGTGCTCTTGAAAAGTGGCACCCTGTATCACTGGCGTGAGTGTCTAGTTCTAGAGGGAGCAGAATGAACCTTGCTCCCGTGGAGTGGTGTTTGTTGTGACCTGTTCAGAGATTCCCGGTAGGACTGATGCCAGGGGCTTGCCTATATTTCACCCAATGCAGGAGGATGGGAAAGTGGCTATGCGGAGAGGGCGTTTCTTGACAATCCTGGAAGGTAAATGAACATGCTGCCGAATGGGGCAGAAGAACATAGTCGAGACAAACAGGCAGCTAAGACCTGGGAGGGGGAGCTGCGGAGTAAAATGCTTTGGGGAATAAAGGCTTTGGAAAGCTCCCACAGATCTTAAGGAATCTAGAAGGACACACCCAGGACAGTATGCATGCTCAGAAAGACCTGGGAAGACCCTAAACGTTTACCCCTTGCTGATCTTTACACCTCGCCAAAGCAGGAAGTGAAGACTAAAGCAGTTATGAACACCATGGATAAGTTTTGAAGGGGTGCCCCACACAGAGCCAATCTGTAAAGATCAGAGAGTGTTTTCTTTTTGTCTCCAGACATGAAGAAAAGTTCTGTCAAACTACTAGGTGACCAATAAATTAACAATGTAGAAAGTTTATAGATCACAGATGACAATACAGGTTTTTACAAGCAGTTTTGAAAAGTCAACTACAACCCACAATAAGCAACAAAAGCTAACTCTGGAGAGAGAGGAATCCAATTTCCAGAGTTGCCACAATACACAGAATGGCCAGTTTACAAAGAAAAGGGGGCAGCATACAAAGATGAATTCAAAGAAACACAGTATTTCCCATTCACAAGAAAAAGAAATTAGCCCTGGCCAGTGTGGCACATTGCTTGTAGCATCAACCATGCACCAAAATGTGTGGGTTCAATACCCAGTCAGGGCACATACCTAGGTTCAAGTTCAATCCCCAGTTGGGGCATATGCAGGAGGCAGCCAATTGATGATACCCCCCCCCCCAACACACCAACACACACACACACACACACCATCCTTTTCCTATTTCTAAAATCAGTAAATGTATCCTCAGGTGAGGAGATTAAAAAAAGAAAATTTAAAAGATAAAAAAGAAATTAACAGTTTTGAGGAAGCACAGACAGTAGACTTCTAAATAAATACTTAAACCATATTTAATATACTAAAAGAGCTAAAGGAAACCATAGAAAAAGGACTAGAGGAAACAGAATATTAATCAAGAAAGAAATTACAAATAAAGGAGTCACACAAATTCTGAAGCTAAACAATACCCTAGAATTGAAAATTTCACTAGAGGGACTCAAGAGCAGATTAGGCAAAGATCAGTGAATGTCAAGCTAGGTCAGTTGAAATGGTCCAGTCTGAGGAGAAAAACAGAAAATAAAGAAAAATGAACAGAGCCTAAGAGATTTGTCATATATCATAAGTACACTAATATATGATAACAAATTCCTAGAGTGAAGGAGATAAAGGACAGAAAGAATATTTGGAAAAATAATGACTAGATACTCTAAATTTTAAGAAAGATGTGAATTTAATATGCAAGAAGCTCTACAAACTCCCAAGTAATATGAAATGGAAAAGATCTACAGTAAGACAAACTGAAATTAAACTGTTGAAAGATAATGGGAAAGACTTGAAAACAGCAACAGAGACATAATTTGATTGGTAAATGGGTCCTCAATAAGATTAACAGCTGATGCTTATTAAGCAGGAAGGCATTTTCAAAATGATGAAACAAACTGTCAATCAGGAATTTTATATCTTAGCTATTGCAAATAGTGCTGCTACAAACATGGGGGTACATATATTCTTTCTGATTGGTGTTTCAGGCTTCTTAGGGTATATTCCTAGAAGTGGGATCACAGGGTCAAATGGAAGTTCAATTTTTAATTTTTTGAGGTAACACCATATTGTTTTCCATAGTGGCTGCACCAGTCTGCATTCCCACCAGCAGTGCACTAGAGTCCCCTTTTCTCCACACCCTCGCCAACACTTGTTGTTTGATGATGTGTTGATGGCGGCCATTCTGACAGGTGTGAGGTGATACCTCATTGTTGTTTTAATTTGCATCTCTCTGATGATTAGTGATGTTGAGCATTTCTTCATATGTCTCTTGGCCATTTGTATGTCCTGTTTAGAGAGGTGTCTATTTAGTTCCTCTGCCCATTTTTTAATAGTACTACGCAGCTGTAAGAAAGAAAGATCTCTTATCCTTTGAGACTACATGGAGGGACCTGGAAAGTATCATCCTAAGTGAAACAAGCCAAACAGAGAAAGACAAGTTTCATATGATCTCACTTTTTTTGTGGAATATAATGAAC